TAGACTTGATTCTATACTTGGTTAGGGATGGTAGTAGTATTCTATACTACTATTTCCAAACCTAGAGACCAGCAAATTTCAGAAAACATACTCCATTTAATATCCTTGGTGTAATTTTTTTATATATATTTTTTTTCAAAGGTAAAGAAATTGATGAAGGAAAGGAAAAAACCATGGCTGACAGATAAACGTTTAATAAATTCATCCAGAACTTCGTTAAGTTTTTATTTTTTATTATTATTAATCTTTTCACTTTACCGATCCTTCAACCACGGTTTTTCCTTTCCTTCATCAATTTCTTCATCTTTGACAAAAGTGATTAAAAAAACAATTGCACCACTAAAAAGGATATTAAATGGAATACTTTTTCTAAAATTTGCTGTCTCTAGGTCTGGAAATAGTAGTTTAGAATCACCATAGTACGTTTTACAACTTTAAAAAAATATTTTTCAAAGTTCTCGCTACTAAAACTCTTATTTAACGAACGTTTGCAAGTTTAGTATTGATCACATCTTATTGGAAATTTAACGTAGTTTTCATTGGTGTGAACGGATTTGTCCAAACTTTTAGTTTTGGAGTTATCATTGTTCATTTGAAGCAAGGTCGTCAAATCTTAAAAAATCTGAAAAAGTGGAATGACTCCGAAACTGCTGAGATTTGGACCTTAGTTAGCTAGGACTTTTTTGTTCCATTTTGAATGTAGAATCTACTGTCGAAGTTTGTAACATGAGTAGCCGAACACCCTGTATATTAATCAAAGTTTCACGTTTTTTAACTTTAATAATTGAGTCTTTGTCTAAAAAAGTATTTTAAAAAAATATAAATTGCTAAGGAAAATGAAAAAAAATATTTAAAAAAAGACGGACAGATAAAATTTGTTGTAATTTTGTTTTAGATTTTTAATTAACATTTCAATATTGCGAATTTCCCCGTCTTGCGTTAATTACATCGGCATACTTTCTACCAGTCTGGAACTGTTTCTTTGCTGGAGGTTAGCTTAAGAAAACTAAACGGTTTGTTGCATCAGAATTCAAATGAGACTAAATAAACATTTTAAAAACATTGAAAAATCCTTTATTCTTGTTTCGGATTACGGATTAAGTGTGTTTACCTCTAATTGATATTCCCAATTTAAAACATAGCATAAACAAATATTTATTGATGAAAACAATGAGACAAATGGCAGAATTGTCTTTAATCGAGAAAATGAGAAACAAATCAATTGAGTGGAATTATTTGCTTGGCAGTGTATTTACAAACGAATCACCATATTAATTTTAAATAAATATTATTTGCACAGCGCATGATTGGAACGAAACCTATTCATTGTTTTGCCCATTTCTTTATTACTTGTAAATTTTTGAAACCAGATATGCGTGCATTTTGATTGGAGAGTTTTGTAAAAAGACCCTTCCTTAGACATTTGGTATCTTTGTTGCCATTTCTTGATTAAAGGCACTTATAAATTCTGTGTATGGTGTTTCAAACACTAAATCACTCCCTCTGCAGAGAGCTTGTTTTGCCCATTTGTCCACCTTTTCATTGAATTTGATAACCGTATTCTTAATTTTAAGATAATCTATTTTCTTTAAAATTTTCGACAATTATGTAGTTATCCTTGGCCCTGAAATCTTTTTGTTTTAACCTTGACATGTAATTTAGACTATCCTTAATTATTAGACATTTTTTACTAGCAGTTGAGCCAAGATAACTGAGAGCGTTTGAAATAGCGTACAGTTCGGCTAAATATATACCACACTCCCTGGGCATTTTTATGAAGCACTCATAGTTGATGATTGGATCGTAGAAGGCACAGCCAGTACTAAAATTCATCACTCCGTTTGATATCCTGGTCATTTCGCATTGAGTTCTTCCCGGAAAAAGGTGTTAGCTATATGGTGATCCATATCCTGATAATCTGAAAAAGAAAAAAATTTCTATTTCCTCATAGAGAGCGGCAAATTGATAAATATATATTTTATCGTTCTGTGAAGAGTAATTGCTTTTACAGCCCGGCCCACAACACTTTTTACGCATTATCACATACAATTATCAAGATAAGATCAAATCAAGATATAAATTATTGCGTAGTTTTATTATGTTAAATGCAATCACAATTTTGATAATTTCCAATTTATATCGCCTGAAAAGACGTGATATACACTGACAGGCAAAAAATTCCACCCAATTGATTTTTTTTTTCATTTTCTCGATAAAAGAAAATTCTGCCCTTAATTTTGTCTAATTGTTTTCGTTAGACGTTTTCGAGAAACTGGGTGCTACCATAGAAGGCCAGGTTCTGGACGTCCTAGGGTAACAGAAGGATAGGATGACTGGTATGGACTGATGGCTTTTCGCCCCTTCAGAGGAGCAGAATTACCAGAAGACACTGAGTTGCACGGCTCGCATTTGCTCGAGGACACAGCCATTGGTCTTTGGACGATTGCTCTGCTGTATTTTTACAAATGAGTGTAGATTTGCTCTACGATCTCCAGATGGTAAGTCGAAAGAGTGTAGAGAAGGCGAAATGAAAGATACGAAGCCTGTAATTTTTCCCGGAGCCATCGTTTTCAACGTAGCTCAGTGATGGGGTATGCCGGAATTTCAATGGAGAGTCGCACAGAGTTGGTTGTTGTTCGTGGAGTGTGACGGCAACTCGCTATGTGTATGAAGTTTTGGAACATCGTGCGTTGCCTATCCTCGATGAAATCAGCGACAATCCTATTCTAATGCACGATAATGCCGACGCTAATGTAGCTCGCATAGTATAAACGTACCTTGAACAGCATAAAATCAGGGTCTTAGCCTGGCCAGCCCGTTCTCCAGACTTGAACACCATCTAACATTTATGGGATAACCTCAAAAGACGAATAAGAGCACGTTCATCACTTCCTCATACACTGACACTCAGTTTTATCTTTCTCTCTTTTTTTAATTTTTTTTTTTCATTTTCCTTAGCAATTTACATTTTTTTTTACTTTTTTAGACAGACTCAATTATTAAACGTTAAAAAACGTGAAACTTTGATTACTTATAAAACCATATAAAAATCAAGTTATATTACAAGTGCATGGAATTTTTTGCCTGTGAGTGTATATATATTGATTTTTTATAATATATGATATATAAATGGACAGGAACCACCCCGAAACTTTGGCTTATGGCTCCAATCCAGCCGAACCGACGCACCAGTTATTTTCTTTTCTTTTTATTTATTTATATATTTAATTCTTGTTATCAGTTATTGTCAGGATGGTAGATCATATCTGATTTATTAAATTTGTTGTTGTCAAAAAGCTGAATAATTTGGCAATATTTTCTTGGTTATCCCCTAGATTTCATATAGCGTATTCGGGAGAGAAGATAATTTTCTTATGTCAGAACATAAGCGGTGATAGTAAAATTCGTTTGGTTTTTTTATTTCATTACATGCTCCGCATTCGGGCGGAGGGTCATGGGCCATTAAGTGATCCTTGGTGGTCAGACAGTGTCCTACTCTCAACCTACAACCTCCCCCCTTCTCTTCAGTCTAAACGATGAAGGCCATGCCTGTGTGGTAGACTTGATTTCAAGAAGTTTATTGTTTGTAACTGAATGCCAGGTTTTGTTACATGGTAAATATAATTTCTCCCTAAAGGCCGCAATGAGGTCATCCTTGCTTACCTCCACAAGGTTTCCATCTCCAACTGGATCCTTGGAGAGCAAATCATCCTTGGCAGTCATATCTGCTCTCTCATAGCCAGAGTTACCCAAATGACCAGGAATCCAGAGAAAAAATACTGTTTTCCCTTGCTGCTCAAGACGTCTCAATGACTTGTACCATAGGGTTATTGCTGAAAGGATGATTAAATGTTTGAAGGGAAGCCTTGGAGTCAGAGCAAATAACGATTATTTGCTCGTCTGGATGAATAACGTTGAGGGATTTATTTCAATCAACTATTTATATATATTTATATAAATATTTCAATTGAAATCAATATTCCCTTTTTCCACAGATACTTGCAGTACCAACACCCCTGACATCCGCGGAACCATTTTTTTCTGCGTATTTGTGTGTTGCCATTCTTGTTTGTTGTGTTGAAAGTGCCAGTGAGATATTGCTGTTTTATGTTTATATGCGTTGGATTTTGAAGGGCTGGGGAAGGAAGTCGGTATAGAAAGACATTTTTGTATAAGGAGTCGGCTTCTTTGAGGTGAAAAGAGCCGACGACGGGAAAAAAAACGTTGGTAATGGTTCGGCCAGATTATATAGACGGGATAATTAGGAAAAGGAAAGCTAAATTGTTGAAAAATTAGACTATGTAAAAATGTTTGATGTGTGGAATGTGATGAATGTTTTATATGTTATATTATATGTTTTGTATGATGCGATGATACATGTATGTTATCGATATTGAATTTGATTAATGATATTGGCGTAGCTGCGACTGAGTTTACATGTGTTTGTTCTGTAATTGATGCTGTATTTATCTCTGTTGATGTAAATCATTTCTAAAAAGCTACTTTTATGTTTGTTTTGTTCTGTGCGTAATATTTTTGGATTGTTGAAGTCGAAATTGTGTTTGTGTTCAAAATGGTGAGTAGAGAGTGCTGTAGGATTTTGCTTGGGTTTTTTACAGTCATAGATATGTTGCTTTATTCTCTTATCCAATTATTGGGATGTAAGACCGATGTACGTTGCAGGACAGTTTAAACAATTGATTTTGTAGATTATGTCAGATTTATTTGTTATTGGTGTGGGATCTTTAATTTTGGAATCACCACACATAATTAATAATTATGGCTCATGCCATAATGTCAAAAACTTTCTGATAATAACAATAATTCCATGATGCAGTATATTGTTCAACAACCTACTGTATAAGTGATAGAACTGTAGAGTAAACTGCAAAAATCTTTACTGATTTTTAAAAAATATAAAACAAAACAGGTTGAACAGAAATCCACACAGTAATTCAATGACGTCACTTCTGTCAATTGAGTTGACATGAGCGTACTGTAAATATAACCCCGGGTAGGGGCTAAACTTCAACCTTTTGTCCTAGGTCAGAAAATCTTGAGTTTTTTCAGGAAAAACGAATCGAAATGATTTTCCTCAGTTAATTTGTCAAAACTTTCCCATCTTCCCTTATTGAACTATGGTCGAAAGAAAGCTGTATGTGAGCTTTTTCTGTCAACGGTGTCTACAACCTTTGAAACTCGACGATTCCTTCAGCACCCTCGACGTTCACACTCGGGCAGAACTTTCACGTAATATTATTTCACTATTAACTTATTATCTATGATTTTACACATTTTCAAATGATGAAGTACAATCAGTGTGATGGTGCTATTTATTTTCCTTGGAAGTGGTTAAAATCTTCATAAATTTGTGTCAATTTAACAGAAGTTGTGATTGCACTGATACGAAGAATTTTCGATTAAATGTAGTGCACTTTTAACTGTACTCTTCAAGAACTGTTGTTTCGTCCGTTCTGTTCTTGTACTTAATCCAACTATACATATTATTACTTTCATCTGAAAACATTATCTCATACAGGAAAGACTGTTGGTCTTCAGTCTGATACACGTGCCCTGTCCGATTCTTTGCTGATTCTGCACATCATTGAACACCACTTTTTGTTTTTAGATGTGCAAAACATTTTTTGTCTTGCTGTTGTTGTTTCAGTCTGTAATACACATTTCAGCATATGTCTACTATCATTCTGCAGAATGATAGTATCGAGCGAATCCAAGGGGAAATCGCAATTTCTCAGATTTTTCCATTTACACATTTGATTACTTTAATTCTTATATTTCATTCTGAAGATATTGATAGTGAGATTAATTAGTGATTAAAGACGGATATGTGGGAAAATGAGCATTATTGAGGCAATGAGACGACACATGCTGCTCCTCCCTAGGGTGTCCTTTTGCCCGGCTAAATTTATCTTAAACAGATAACGTTATCAAAAAACAAAAAAATACGCATTTAATAATTTTTAGTCTAGTTTTCAATGTTTACCCCTTTTAAAAAATATTTTTGTCATGTTATTTCAGAGTCAGTATGACTAAAATTTTAAATGAGAATGTATACTTTTTTTACCCACTGTCTTAAAACATTATGTCTTTCTTAATTTCATATTTATTATTAAGTATTTTCATTTGCTGTTTTGGTCCTAGGCAGTTTTAAAATTTCTTGGGATGATGAGTACAAACATTTTTAGTTAATCAACAGTTGTATTAAAAAAAAAAAGGTAGTTTGCATGTTTCGAACATATTGTGGTCATGTTTGTTGTTCTTGATGTTCGAAACGTGTAGAATACTTTCTTTTTTAAATGTAACCATTTATTAACTAAAAACGTGTATGACCCATTGACATCATTCCAAAAAAATCATATGTATTTTCCATAAGCTGGTTATTCATTTTTTTTTCTTCACTTGTCAATGTTGTTTTGTTATTATTAGATTTAGACAACATGAAAAACATTAGAATTAAATTCTTATTTTTGTTTACATCCATGAACATTAAATTTTTTGTAATAAGTTTTATCAGTCAGTCAAAATGAGCTGAAGGGTATGTTTTTCTCTTCAAGATCGGGTTGAAATGTACAGTAATTTCATTGAAAGTGATGGAATTGCTCATTATGCAGTTGTACCCCAGAAATTTTTCAATTGCTCTTGGGTGAACTGCAAATCACTTATGAGGATGCACACAGTGTAAGGAGATGTGGGGGCTCATCGAGAAACTGGTCACATCATTTTGATGAAGAACTAAACATTTTCTTGTGTCTTCTTGAAAATCCACTCCCTTCAAAAGACTGGAAGGATTTTTGCTTTTTCAAAGAAGAAGATTAGAGATGTCCTCAGAACATACAATTTTAAACCATATCGTCATCCTGCCTGGGGGCTTTGGGACAGCGATTTTAATAGACGGTTGTTCAATGTTCCTTTCAGAGATGTCAGTTTGGGATATAGAAGAAATTATTCTCCCATACATCCTGTGGACTGAATTCAAGTTCAAATGGAATTCTCAATCAGTGGGATTTTCAAAAGTGAGCACAGAAAAAACCCCAAATTGAGTATCCGTGTCACCACCAAATGATTCACATTCTGTGCCATAGCTTTGTTATTCTTTGACCAATTTAAAAGCATATGTTCTTATTTAAAATTTTGAAGTTATCCTGATAATTTCCTGATCCCTGATAACAAATATTAAAAAAGGGGGTTAAAATTTAAAAATAGAGTAAAAAATATTAAGCATTTTAGTATTTTTTGGTTTTGAAAACATTATCTCTTCAAGAGAAATTCTGCCAGGCCATCTAAAAAGAACATGAGACCTTTCTGGCAATATCGGTCCAGAGCATCACAAGTTTTATTCTTCCTATTTTGTTAATGATAACATGAAACATTTTGCCACCTCTTCCTTCCTTCTCCTTGCAGATGTTCTCCAGCTCTATGCATCAATGTCCAGCCTGGCCAATTGTAGGGAACTGCACCATGACATTTTTTCCAACTGCTGATCTAAAAATGACATTGTTAATATATAAAAATGGCAAATGTATAAATTTAGTAAATCTAATAAAATAGAAAATTTCAGCAACTTTTGCTATCTTCATCGATATTAAAAATAAGGCATTGACCCTCTACATTACCATTGTCGGATACCACTTGGAGTAAGTGAGTTTGTTACGGATCCTTACCTGGGTGTTGAAATCGACCTGTTGGAGAGGGTGCAGAAGAAGGCTACCTGTTTTCTCACTTTCAAATTTGGTTCATCTGGACTTGCTAAATCTTCTTAATCTTGACACTCTCTCAGGTCATAGATGCTTGTCGTATTTGGTTTTCATTTTGAAGCTTTCCAACGGTGTCATCTATTTGCCTGAGATTTTAAGTAACTTGCCTCTGCTAGGTTGTCAGAGGTTGCTCTGGTCCTGTGAAAGTGCAATCTTCCAAGTGGAGAAGCAAAGGACCTGTTATGCGACTCAGTAAGCCTTCTCACACCTCATCTTTGTTGCTAACATTGTCTCCAGGTTGGCTGGCCTCTTCTTCAATTTACTTTGCGTTTTTAAAAATAAAATCCTGGAAAACTTGTTACATAAGAAGTAAAAGGTCAAAGTTCTTTTTTAATGATTGTTTTTGTAAAATTCTATTTTGTTTATTGTATTTGTATTCTTATTTTTGTATTACTTATATTTAATATGAAATGAATGTTGAAATTATATATTGAATATTGAAAAATATGAATGAATAATGAAATTAAATTTTAATGTTTACCTTTATTTGTAATTTTAATAATTTCATGATATCTTTATTTATGATTTATGATTATATTCTAATATTTTTTCTTAACTGTTTCTTTGGTGGCCCATGAGTTTGTTGAAACTGCATTTGTAATAAATAAGTAAATACTGACACAACTTTTTATATTTAAGTTGGCTAATCGATTTTATCAAAAATTAATTCACTATTTATTTGTAAGTATCTACCAAAATTTTGTTTAAATCATGCATATATTGTAAATGAGGATAATCTTAAGATGACAAAGTTTGAGTTTAAATAATTACTGCTGCACGTTATATTTTAATCAGTACCGATACATGCGTCTCCTGAGGTCGATCTTGAAGCTGCCAGCATTGATCATTTGGTGCCTGCATTTCAATTAGAAGATTCAGGAAATGGAAATAATGGATTTACATTACTTGGAGCTCAAGGGGAGTCAGGGGACCTCAGCCATCACATGAAGGTATTAAGAGCCTCATACAGGATAATACGATCGAATTTTACCTCCTCCATTATTTTAATAGGTCACTGCTGGTCTCTTTGACATCGTCTCGTCAAATTCTGATGTGGATCACCCGTTGTGTGAGGAATGTACCGATACTCTTATAGACCTTATGGATAAACAGTTAAAACTGACAGAAGAGGAATGGGAAGATTATAACCAGTTTCTACAAAAGTAAGAATTTTTTTATACAATTTGTGATTGTGTTTGTACTTTAAATGCTTACAAAAAAAATTGTTGTGCTTGTTTTTTATTTCTTGTGCTGCCTGTTTGTAAGTTGTTCAGTTTTGGCATCTACTGGATATGGCAAAACATCAAAATGATTTTGACGATAGGCTGTAGGGGATGATCAGGGTAGATAAAACAGACAAACAGATCTTCTTTTTTTTACTTGCTTCAGTGATGCATGTACTAAAATATATTAATTATTTTACTTATTTGATTGTTGAACATAGATGTCCCTAAATTTCTTAGGAAATTGAGAAAGTAGATTACAATAATTTTTGCATTTAGTGCAAGCATTTTAACAAAACATTGATGAAAAGTTTTTTGAGTTATGGTCTAAATCAACATGAACTTCAAACCAACAAAGTATAATTTTGTAGTTTGATTGTCTCCAATCATCTTGAACTGTCTATTCTTACTGGTTTTGTCTGTTGGACCAGTTTTTCTATCTTCACTAGGTGGTCTGTTTTTTTTCCAGTTCTTTTGTACATTTTATTGACACTTAACATGGCTGAATACAGGATAAATACATATTTAAAACCTCATAGACCTCACTACAATATTTTACAAGTTATAAATTGTTATAACATTTATAACTATACATTGGGTCACTAAAACAAAAAAAAACCTATAATAGGTTTAAGCGTTGACACGGTGCTCATCACTGCAAGGTAAAGGTACCTGGTTTGAATCCAGTGGCCCTGCATTCGAACCCAACTTACAATTTATTTATTTTTTTCAAAAACACCGGCACCCTTAGGGTTCATATAACCTTGTAGTGGAAATATCCTTGTAAAATAAAAAGATACTCAACTTCTTCAGTGAATCAGCATTTTTGGAGATCAATATGCACAGGAAAAATTTTCATATTCAGTCTTTCCCTGACTTACAAGGTCTTATTTTATTGACACCCACATGTTTGCCTATGTGATCTTTCTATGTGAGGACATTTGGGATTGATCAATGATAGCAATTCTCTCTTATTTTCAATGACTTTTTGACTTATTTTTTATCAAACAAACTCATTACAATTAATCTTTTAAACATAAAGACAATAATCTTTTTCCTTTCCCTTGTGTTTAAGTGGTTATNAGTTACAGGGTTCATGATTATCTTTTTCATTCCGCAATCAACTGCCTTCAGAAATAGTTAATATCAGAAGTTACCACAATAGATATCTTCCTTCTGTTTACAAACATTTGTATCTCCTAGCTGTTCAACATGGGTTTTTTCCATTTCCAATGATTATAATTAGAAATTTGAATTCTATCACTGCTTAACAGAATATGTGTTCTAATTGTTTATTATATACAGGGTGTCCTGTGAACATACGTCAACACTTCAGGAGTTTAATCTACATGTAAAATTGAAGTAAAATCCCCCTTTGTCCATAGTCTGTTTCTCAATTGTATTGAGACTCTATGAAATTCATTTGAGTTTTTTAGTTATAACATTAAGCAAATAAAATACAAAATTACTTAGAAGTATAGTGATGCTAATATTCTGTGGGTCCTTCAATGTAAAGAAATAATTTTTAATTTGAACTCGTGATCAAATGATAATAACTATGATTGGGGGGGGGGGGACTAAAAATTTATTGAAAAATAGAAAATAAAATTAATCCTTTGAAAAATAAGAATTGAGCTAGCTCCAATATCAATCTAATTTAACAAAATAAAAAAGTCAACTTGACTATATAAACACCTATGTTGGAAAGGAAACAACAAAAACTATTTTTAGGGCTAAGAATGGATCTTCTTATTCCTCTTGTTTTCTTTTATTCTTAATCTTCCACTTGCATCCTAATTTTCCTTTTGAAGGCACGATCCAATCTGCTTGTCTCCTCTCTCGCTTCTCTCTTCTTTTTCTTAAACCTCCTACCGGTGGGCGGGTATTATTAAATGTATGGTTATAGAAGATAACTTTTTACGAGTTTCCAAAGTTCTTCACTAAAGTTTATGTTTTTCATGGTTCTGTAAATACTGACAGATATGGCATTTACAGAAAAGTTGCCTCTACTAATGAGCTTCTAAATACATCTGCTTAATTTCAGTGTAAAATAAGATTCACTGTGATTCTCAATTGTATTGCCGATATTTCACTTTTCAGATTACGTCCACCTTTTACAACTTTATTCCATAAAGTCCCTCATATTTCATAAAATGTTAAATCTACTATAAATTTGATTACACAAATGGAAAGAACATCACAAACCCACCCTATGAGATTCATTGGTTTTTTTAAATTTTAACCTTAATAAACAAAATACAAAATCACTTAGAAGATAAATTTTTAGAAGTTTCCCAAGTTGTTGTCTAAGGTTTAAATACGATTCTCTTGCCTCTGAAAATAATGAAAGATATATAGATAAAAGCCTGTTTTATTTAGGTGGAGGGTCCAATAACCCCGTTGGGTGTCACAAATGAAAAGTCAAACCACTTTATAATACATTATTCACTTTTTGTAAATTGTGGTTCTATTCACACATTTGTTGTTTACAACGGTCTAGATTTTGAGCATTGGTTGAAGGAGTTACAAACACATCTCTAAAAATAATAATTTTAAATTAATAATTAATTTGTATGACAAATATTATAATAGGAGTTAGATCAAAATCTATTATATATTATTTATGCATTTATCTCCATGTTTAATTTTACATTTTTTAATTTCAAATTTCTCAAACCAATCTAGTACCCTCCGTTTGTTGAAACTGTGTAACAATATTGCATTTAAATTGAAATTGTGTTTTGTTTAATTTAGATGGTTCTTAAATTCAGAAAATTTATTTGATTTAGGAAGTATTCTTTAATCTTTTTAAAAGATAGTTCTTACAGTTTGCACAAACTCACAAATTGTGGGTAAAACTATCGTTTAAAAAGATCAAACAACATTTCACCCCATGTTTATCATTTTTAAGTATACTTTAACTCTTGTTTTAATTTCTCTGCTGCTATGTCCTATAAATTTAATATCGCTGTCATTACAATTAAGTTTGTAAACCCTGCTCTTTGACAATTTGTCAATCTTGTCTTTAGGTTTTGAGAGGATGTTTTTAAGTGAATATAAATTAAAAAAAAAAAAATGGTTTAAGTCTCTAAAAGCTATTCTTAAACCTTCTCATTTAAGAATTTTACCTACTTTTTTAATAGTTCCTCTATTATGGCAAGCAACGAAAAACAAATGATTCATTTTTGTTGGGGTGGCTGAGTCTGACAGTTGCTTCTTTTAAAGTTAATTTTTTTCTTCTTTTTTCTAGCAACCTTTCGATAAATATTCCTTGATATCCATTGTTTTTTTTTAAGCTAAGGTTTTAATTGATGTAATTCTTTTTTAAATAATTAGCAGGTGTTAATAGGACTTACAGTCTCTGAGCCAAATGAATCCATCATCTTTTTGGGTCCATGGGTGAGAAGAATCGACTGGTAAGAACATCTGTAAAATCTATACTAGGTGTAAAGAATTAATTAATTGGAGGAATTCTTTTAGACCCTCTACTGTACCCGACCTTATAATAAAATATCTTGTTTGTAACTCCTTTAACCTGATGATGAGTGTTTAATGCTTGAAATACAGAATGTTTAAACCACATTAACATCATTTATATGTTAAAAGTGATTTTATACTATGTAAGGTTAAAATAAAAAAAATGAATCTTATAGGATTTTCAATGCTTACGCTGCTTTCAACCATGAGAGATGGTTCAAATCTACATTAGGGTTAATATTTTATGAGATAAGGAGGCTTCATGGGTAAAAATTGTAAAAGATTGAAGGTATCCTGAAAAATAAAATATCACGAATACAATTGAGAAACAGACTGTGGGCAATATGGACTTTTTAGTACTAGTATAGTTTTACATGTAGATTAAAATATTGGCAAGACACCCTGTATATTGATGAAAATAATGCCATCATCCATCATTTTTTTATTTAATAAATAATTTTTATGTTAAAGACTGATCAGTGATTACTTTTGAATTCAGTTGCTTGAATTAAGTTTTTGACTGATTACTGTAGATATTTTTTTAGGCTTAAAAATGAAAGTTACACTGAGAGTGTGGAGGCTCTTGAAAAGGAATCAGAAGATGTAAGAAAATTGATATATTCTGTTATTTTTTAATTTTATGTTTTTTTTAACGTATATTCATAAATGTTTGTACAGCTTCAAAAAGAAGAAGAACGTTTGATGAGCGAATTGAAAGTAATGCAGGAAGAAGAAAAAGAAATATTAAAAGAGTTAGCTGTACAAGAAGAAGAAAGAGATAGATTGGAAAGGGATGAAAAGCGGTATTGGAAGGAATACAATAAACATCGAAATGAATTAATCTTGATAGAAGATGAATACAAAAGGTATTTTTTACATAGTAAAATACTTAAACAACCCTTATTTTCATAACAATGAATTTTAAGTTTGATTGTATGTATTAATTTTAATATAAAATTGTTTATTTTGTGTTGCAGTTTAGAATGGCAACTAATGTATGCCCAGAATCAACTCGATAAACTTAAGAAAACAAACGTTTTTAATGCTACCTTTCATATTTGGCATAGCCATAGTGGACATTTTGGCACTATAAACAATTTCAAACTAGGGCGTCTCCCATCTGCGCCAGTGGACTGGAGTGAAATAAACGCTGCTTGGGGTCAGACTGCCCTATTATTGACTGCACTTGCGAATAAAATGAATTTTTCCTTCCACAAATACCGTCTCGTACCATACGGCAATCATTCGTATATCGAAGTATGGGTTTGAAGTCTGTTCGTAACATATTTTAATCATTGTACCTGGTACTGTTTGTACAGGTTCCTTCGGAGCAGAAAGAATTGCCGCTTTATGGCTCGGGGGGCTTCCGATTTTTTTGGGACACCAAATTCGATGCGGCGATGGTAGCGTTTCTAGATTGCTTACAGCAGTTCAAGGAAGAAGTGGAGAAAGGTGATTCTGGATTTTGTTTGCCTTATCGAATTGACAAAGGCAAACTCGAAGATTCAGCCACAGGACATTCATTCTCTATCAAGTAACTTTTTCCTCCTCCATTTAATATTACAAAGCCTAGTGGAATTTAAATTATTGATAAGTTAATTTTTAGAATTCAGTTCAATTCTGAGGAACAGTGGACCAAAGCACTAAAATTCCTTTTGACGAACTTAAAGTGGGGATTAGCTTGGGTTTCGTCACAGTTTGCCAAAGAACAGAATGAGTTTTACTATGGATAAAGTCTTCGGCCTTATTCGGTAACTATTATATCAAAAATACATTTATATTGATTTAACCCTTTCGGGTATACTCATTTCTACCTCTATGCAGGTACTGAGAGCGTGATATTGCACTCTAATCTCTTCACTATTAGTTCAAGTTCATAGAAGCAGTGTGCTTTTTAAGTTATTCTTTTTAGTACTAGTGAGTGTGCGTACTTTAGAAAACATAATTCTGTTGCTTACCGTTTTAAGCAACACACTGCTTCTTTGAACTTTAGTATACAAGTAAGAGACTAGAGCACGTTATCACGCTCACAGTACTTGAGTAGAGGTAGGGCGAGTGTGATGGCACATTCTCACTGGGAGAAACAAGAGCGCAATATCACGCTCAATGTACTTAAAGGGTTAATAATTATCATATTTGTTTTACAGATAAGTATATGTATATTTAAAAGTATATTCAGCTCAGCAGTTCTACTATTTCATACGAATGATGCCACCTCTCTTGACAGCAACTTAAGAAATGATTTTGAATGTTAAAAGTACTTTTGCATATATTCAATAATTTTACAAAATAAAAGGTTTAACAAAAAAAAAAAATTGGATAAAGGTTGCAGTGTTATATGCTTTGTTTTTAATCTCTTGAATATAATTGCTTAATCTTTTAAATTATGATTGTTTAAAAAAAGTACTTCTTTTAAATTATTGTATTGCTCAAGTTTTAATTTATCACAAAAGAAACTTGATATTGAACAGTTTATATGCACTGAATATAAGTTAATACACACATAAATAATGGTTATGCAATGTGTAGTCGTGTAGTGAACGCAAGTGGCTTATCCTTTTATTCGTATCGTGCTATGATTGACACCCATGCAAATTAACAAACGCAATAAAAATAATTTAAAAAAATAAAATTATACGTGGGGCCGAACAATTTTGAGTCTACTGTTGGGAGGGGGGAACTGCGTAAGATTTTCATGTTCAAGGAAAAAATTATTCACAAGATTTGTTCAGAAAATTATTTTTGTTAAAATGCGAAAATGTAAAAAATTCAGGGAACGCATGAATCGGTGGATCATCACTACGTATCCAACCCCAATTTTTTTTTGGGTCAGGCGATATGTGCCGATTTTTTATATAGGGTGAGTTTCCGTTCTCCTTTATACTTTTTATTGGGGCATTTTTGTGAAAAAACCTGATATGTAAATTTTTTTGTCTAGTTTCTCATTAAATAAAAAGTTTTGATTTAACCCTTCAGAATAATGGGCTATGAATAGGAACTTAAGAACAGCAGACTCTTGTTATCCGAGGGATATATGGTAGCAAGCATCATCACTGCAAATCGTGTGTGCCTATCATCAATGTTATGTGTGTAAAATTACTTCCTACAAAAAAATTTGTAACAATTTCCTCAAATAATTTTGATTAACAGGATGGTCACAATGTACTCATTAAAGTGCGTGCCTAGTGCAAATTTCCACTTTTTTCTTGTAATGTATGAGACATTTTTACAATTTGCACAGAAAGTTAAAGACCGTAAAAACTAAACTTCAATGTGATGGTTTTTATATGTTAACTATATGTAATAAGGTTTTTATGATATGTTAACTATATATAATAAACATTTGAATCTTTTTTTGGGGATAGTCAAAGCCTCAAAGGTAAAAAAAATTATTAGGAACGAAATTTGCATCAGGCTGATTACACTTTAACACGCCACATCCAGTCTCCTGTTAATCGATATTTCAGAAAATTGTTTCTAAATTATTCTATCTGTACCATGAACAAGTAATTTAATATCTATTAAAATAATTTATAAATTAGTGATAGGTTGAAGAAAATTTTGTTTTTCTAAAAAGGAAAAGTTCTTTGAAAATGGCCTGAGAACATGAGCCTGTTTTTCTTAAAACGGTGTAGGTTTTTTGTATAATCATCAGTAGGAAAACATTAACCCTTTCACCGCTTTGTGTCTGACTACGTAAAATATACGACCCCTCCTTCATGGCATCGCTGCCAGAACCAGCAAAAACCCAGACCATCTCCCTATATATAACCTGCTGTGGAAAATGTCCGTCACTCACCCTCTGCTTATCCACCGGTGAAAACCACAGCCCCTCTTATTGCAACATACCGTCTGCGGACAGCATCCTCCCCCGGCAAAATTGCAGGTCCTGGACATGACTTAATCGACAGCATATATTCAGCATATTACCATATTATATATATAATATGGTGTAGACATTAGTACATGCAAATGTTATTTTGAGTAAAACTTTATTGTGGTTCTTGTTTCAAATTGCTTTGTTGACTTTGTTCTTCCCCAGCACCCTTCATGTATTTATTTGTGTTGTTTACAAGTTTTTTGTACATAACCTGTTTGCAGGAAAGAAGAAAAAAGCGAGGCAAAATCTGGTTGAAGAAATAAATGTAATATATCATTGTAAATGAGAGAGGGAAAAAAACTCATATTATTTATATATTAATATATTTATTTTTGTAGAACAAAACGAAGAAATCCTCATTGTACAATTGCAATATTAAAAAAAAAATGTTTTGGTAACAGTCAACTTTCACAATGGACAAGAAAATAAATACTTGGTATTTTGTAATAATTTTTATTTTAATGTTCCTTTTTGAGAGATTATCTTTTAAATTGTTTAATTGAGAATGTTGAATATTCCATTTTTTCTTTTCACTTGTTCGGGGAGCTGGCTGTGTAACTAAGATTTATTTGAGTGATGACTCTTCGCCTTGTATTTCACAGTAATTTGTACTCAATTTAACTCATTAAATAACGAATATTGATAATTATGGCCAAAGATGGTTTTTAAAAGTTTTGTTGGTGTATTGAAATTATACTTTAAAAACACGATACGGGTAGTCATACTGTATATAAAATATTGTATATAAATGTATATCGAAATTGCTCCTGAATGCGTTTGTGCTAAGTTAATTAATCGCAATTGAATATTAAATAAGACTTAGTTTTGTAAATTACAAAAAATATATTTTGTTTGATGGATATTTTTTGTATCTGTTACTGTTAAGCATTGTAAGATGGTAAATAAAACAAATTATATCAAAACTATCGGTTTTTTTTTTTTTTTCGTTTAACCTTAAATTTTTTTTAAAAATTATTTTCGTTAGTCTTTAATTTAACAATGGAACAGAATATGTAATACTTTTTATCATGTTAATGGAATAATCAATCATTAACTAGGTAACTTTTTAACAAATGTGTGCTATTAAAATCACATCTCAAAAAGGACAAAATACTGATAGGATAAATTATTGAGAACAAAAAAAAATTCAAAAATTTGAAAACAAATAAAAATAAAATATTGCAAAAAAACATATACATGTTACAAGAAAAGAAAAGGCCCACTTGTTCTATTAAGACAGTGGGAGAAGGAAAACATAGATAACAACAAAATCATTGACAGTTTTGTTTGCTCATGTTAATGGCCAACGAAGAAGTGGGTGCCATTACAAAAGAAACCGTCATAATAAAATATGTTATATTGGGTCAAAAGCATTTACATTAACATCGTACATATTTGTTCTGGTTATTAACATTAAACATAAAAATTCTTTCGAACTATTAACAACAAGCAAATCACAGCTCAGATAAATTTGGCTTGAAATTAAAGAGAGTAGTAGCAATACATTAATAATAGCAATGTTTAATCGCTCCAACTGCCGGAGCTGCTTGAACTACTGCTACCACGCCGAAATGTTTTATTTAGTGCATATGCGCCCAAACCGACGCCAGCGATTGGCAGCCCATACTTCAATGCTTTCTTTTTGCTGATCTGGAAAAAAAATGTAGTGTAACTCTCTTTTTCAATTAGCCAAAAAGGGGTTAAAATTAATGTTAAGCCCCCCCCCCAAGCGTTTAAAGATGGCTTATCATGGAGAGAGGAGAGGAAAACCAGGGAATAGAAGGCAATGTCGTAAGCCCCAGGTGATAGACAGGGAAAGGATGTCAAAAAGGATGGATACCTGTAAGGGTATTTGTGGCTGCAGAAAGGAGAATGATATTTCTTGGTTTTACAAGCGAGCTTAGCACAAATGTATAAAGATGCCATGGATAAGAGATCAAAAAATGCCAAGGCTGAGAATTGAACCCACAACAGCCCAACAAAATGTGAAGTCGTCACTTTAACTAAACTTACGGTAGCAGTACTCTTAACTTAAATTGTCTTATTCTAAACAGAAACTTTTTTGTAGGAATTTGTTTTACCTTCTTAGCACCATGTTTCATCAATCCTCCCACAACTCCACCAGTGGCCATTGTTCCCAGAATGCCAGTTGCTTTTCCTAAAGGGCCTGAGCTCTGCTGCTTAGGATGACCCTGCAAATTGTATAAAATAAATAAAAACAACTAAAATATAAATAAAAAACTGTGAGTTGTTACAATTTGGATGAACACTTCCAAAAAAGTTAGTTTTCAAATGTCCATTTACAACACAAGATTATAATCAGCTTTTCCAAACATTAAAAAAATCTAATGTTTTAAACTATGTGTGATAGAGAAATCAGTATTCACTTTGTCTTTTCTTATTAAAAAAAATAAATAAATAAATAAATAAAAAAATTATGAAAATAAATTAGTAAAACATTAATAAATCTCAGCCACATAAGAAGAAACATAATTGTAATTACCGGACTGGATGGGTAATAAACAGCTCCCCCAGGAGGCATACCAGGCTGCTGAGGGTATGGAACAGCACCACCACCACTTGGGTAGCTTAAATTAGGAGAATGTTGATAATAAGGAGTGGGATTTTGTTGATAACCACCTTGGGGCATTCCAGGTTGAACAGGGTATGGTGATGTCCGACCTGATTGATAAGGGGGAACGACTGGAGGTACGGGGGAAGGATACGAATTAGGTGGAACCATCGGGTAGGCATTCATCCCGTTTTGATACTGGCCAGGTGTAGGGAATGGAGGCTGTCCTCCGACCGGATACGGAGGGGTTGGTGCATGGTGAGGAGGATAAGGTGGAATCGGAGAACTGCGGTTAGTCTGAAAGCCTATACCGCCACAATCCACGGGGTACGGGGCTGAAGGCATGCCTGGAGAAGATGGGTATTTAGGTGCTGCAGTTGTAACTCTCACTTCAAAACTGCTGAGGTTAATTTCTCCATTGATAACAACATGAGTTATTCTTGTTGGAGAAATTCTATGAATAAATGAAATAAATTCATTTTCATCCACCTTGATCTGCAATTTCAGAAAACTCATGAACAATTCTTTCCTCCAAAAACATATATATATACACATATACACTTTTTTGTGCATAAATTATTTAAATAACTCATTTACCTTTGTGTAGTAAAAATTAAAAATTAGTTTCATAAATTTTAAAAAAGTAATTCCATCTAATATACTGATTTTCAATTTTTAACTAACTCTTTTTGATTTAATAAAATTATTATTATTATTTTTTTTTTATTCCGCTTACAAATGTGATTTTGAATGTAACAAACAGTATGAAAAAATACTTTTATATTTTAAAATAATATAGAGATATCAATGGTTACTTCTTTTTATTGAACACAACACTGCATTTATACTGAACTGTTTACCTTAAATGAGTCAATATCATGACGGAAGCATATTCTGCAATTCTGCCCCTTTATAAATGGAAAAGGGCCGACTGTTTCCTCGGGGCCCCAATTGTTCGACACGACGCTGTTACGGACAACTATCATGCGATCAAAGTCAGGCGAGAAGTGCAGCGCAATGTCGTCGCAAGGCGAAAGGTTCGGACCGCATTGCAAATTTATTGCAAACCTAGAAATAAATAAAAACAGTGTTAATGGTTTCCAAGACAGAAAACAGAAATGCAATTATATAACAAACCTCCTTGCGTACGGATAAATAAATGCATTTATTTCCACTTCAACTCCAGGTGTGAATTCATGATTTATCGGTCCAACATATGGGACATTCTAAAGAGAGACAAAAATTACATGCATAAATACAAAAATAAATATCCAAAGATCAAGCATTAAACTTTTAAAAAATTATAGCCAAGCAGGACATTTTTATTTTACTTTTGGTTCTCTTTAGTAAGTATAAGTTCAGTTTCTTAAAGATCAAACCATACTTAATAGTTTAATCAATAAAAAAACTACAGCTTTCTTCAAACAAATTTTTCCAATTATTATCATTTCTGGAACTATGATATGAAATAAAATTTATAATAGTAATCTTAAATATGTTAATATTTCATTGACATTCCAAAATTTATGCTGTTCATAACAAAAATTGCAATTCTGATTAAGCAATTGCAGAGTATAAATAATAGGTGAGCGAAGTAAGTTAATTTTTCAGTGCAGACTGCTATGCATTGCATTTAATTTAGCTGCTGGTGTAACATTTTTTTTATCATTGGTGCTGTGCTTTTGACAATGCTTCATCTCATTTGTACAATTGTACGCAGATAATACATGTGAAAGACGTGGAAAAGAAGTAAAAACATCCAGAGGGCTGGCAATGACCTTAGCTGTTTGTTGGCCACTAAACTTCCTACATCATTATTATTGTTATAAGCAGATATATTTTTAGAAATGTAGAAAAAATGCTACATGTACTTATAAAAGTGATAAATCAAACATTTAAAATTGAATTCCAATTTTGTTCTGAGAACTTGAGCACTAGAATTTGTATCTGTAGAAAATATTACATAATTTATTAATTTGTTGGCATTAATTAAAAAAAAAGGATAAATGCAAACAAAATGTGTGTGTGTGTGTGAGAGATAGATAGAGAGAGAGAGAAAGAGGGAGGGGGAGGGAGAGGGGGAGGGAGAGGGAGAGGGTGAGGGAAGGGAGGGAAGAGAGTGAGAGAGAGAGACACACTTTATTTTGGGACAAGTGTCCCCTAAGAATAACAATAATGTCACAGAAATTTGACTAAGAATTTAGAGAAAAAATAATAATACAACAATTCCCTATCTTATGCAAACATAATCACAAAATGTGAACTTAAAAGTCGAGAAAAAGAAGGAAAAAATTCTTGTGTAGCAAAGGAACTAATAATATTGTTGGTCTGAGGTGGTGGTACAGCAGGGATTTTAAAAAAGGTGAAGATTTATGGATTAGCAAAGGAAGAGAATTCTTGAGAATGTGGCTTGAGCTAGGAGGACTGCTCCTTGCTGTGGAGGTTTTATGAGCAAGGATAAAAAGGTCATTCGGAAACGAGCGGGTTTTACAAGACTGGATAGAAGCTAAAGATAAAGGAAGGAAAAATTTTAGGTTGTTTTTATGTGCCCATTCTTTTATGGAATTCAGATCTTCCTGAATTCTGGGGATAGCCAAATGAAGGATGGAAGTACTAATATACGTCAAAATTTGAACCAAAACATTTCAAATACAACAAAGTTAAAATATTGCCATAATAATGTTTTTGGAGACCAATGTTATGTTGGGGATATTTCCATTTAATATCTGGATGGTACAAAGGAGATTCCTCCAGGCAACTTCTGACTTAGGTATTTTAACCCTAACATAAAAAAATGATATAAAGGCCCTAAGGAGTTAAATCCAATATTATTTGTCTTTGAATTAATTGTTGTATATGGAGCTAGTAATGTATAAAAATTAACCAGAGATTGAGGGAACTGCTAGACATGTGACTGTTAAAGAAGAGATTTTACTAAGGAATGACATGAGCAAGACATTTGCGTATTAAAAAAAGATTGAATGTAGAAAAATTCCCTTTGGGGAGATGCGAGATGCCACAATGCCGACAGGGCCTTCTGGCATTCGCCTGTTCCACAAAACCTTCTAGAGGACCGGAATACTAAGAATCAGAGAGATTTTAGATCACAGAAAATATATCAGGTTTCTTGACAAGGTCATCTGATAAAAGAAATGTCAATTAACACAGAATGTGTAGGTTCAGCAAAGTAACCAATTTACATTTAGCTATCTACGGTACTCCGCTGAGAAAGAAAAAACAACCGTGGATGAAATATAACCACACTAATATAATTTATAGGTAAATTAGGTCTCATTGTTGTACTGAAAGTGGGGATACAATAGCTCTTGGAAGGTGCAGTATGATTAGACCTTAGCATTCAACATTTTAAATTTTTTTGGAAGTTATGGTTTGATACAGGGGACCACAGTAGCCAATTGTTTAGGGTGAAAGACTCTCGACTTTTAGACCCTGCAGTTGTGGGTTCGATTTCCGCTGTCGCCTCTGGTCCTTTTTTCATGATACTCTCCATCCCCCCAATACGAATACGCATAATATATTGACTAGCACTGGCTAATATGAATAGTGAATAAGGCCATTAAGAAAAAAAAAATGGTTCGATACACATAGTCCCACGGAGAAACGAAGGCTCAAATGAGTTCATGGGGTGAAATTGAGCTCTGATTTATTGATAGGATGTATACACAAATGCAAATCTTACAATGAGATAAGTAAAACACTTATGTCAAAAGTATTTTAATCATACTTATCAATAGCCACCTAATGCTGCTAGGTCGTAGATGATTGTGGAGTTAAACACCCAATGGAGAAGCGGATTGAGCAATAGATAACAAAAGCTAGGATAAAAAAATAAATTTAAAAAATCTCACCACTATATTACATACAATGTACAGCCTAAATATATAGTATTTCTGCCTTGGCCATTCCTCTAGATGGCTTCCTGTCCTCACATCGTACACCGTCTGCAGATCTGTGGTTGAATGTCAATCTTTAAATCTCTTTTTATACTTATAATTTATTTCATGACTCAATTTATGACAACATTAAGCTTGGTCTGCCTATTTAGACTGACCGCAGAAGATTGAGAAATGTCAAAATGTTTGAGACAAATCCAGTAAAAATATGACAATGTTTTTAACTGCAATTTGATCATTCTTGTTTGTCAGACGCATTGAGGCATTCGCCATCATCAGTGGTAGGTGTGCGAGGTTATGTTTGCCGCTTCTAAACAACCTGGTCTGTCTGTCGTCGCTGGTTTGGAATTTGGTCATTTGGATTATTACATGTATATCTGCATTATATAAAAGTAGAAAAATAACAGTCCCATAATTGATGATGGTGAGAAGCCAAAACACATCTGACAAACCAAAGCAACACAGAGAAACAGATCAGAATCGTTCAAAACAGATCGTCCTGATCTGCCTATTCAGAACAACTGCTGAAGATTGAGAACATAGAAAACGTAGAGCTTCCTTTCATTTATTAAAAGGTGCAATTTTTTGTGCGCTTGAGAGCTCAAGGTTTACAACACCAGATCCAGATTTGGACATATCCAACCACTCCATACTCTTTTTTTGCTTTGCATTTTATCTTATTCTTTATCCAGTGTAGAAGCAGCTAACAAAACGTAAAATATTATTCTTTTGTCATCTGTGCAAAAGGAAAACAGAACTAAAGCTACACGTAAACATTTTTGTTCTTTTAGATTATCTTTCTTATTTGATTTCAAGCGAAACAAATAAACCGAGTGCAGGAACGTCAAACATAATTTAAATTTTGATTTATCAAAGCGTTATTCAGGATGATACAACCTCTCAGAGGTCATGCACATAAGCTAGAATTTTTGTATGTTGTATGAAGGAAATGCATTCAACAATATGTACTGATTAAGTGTGATGGTACATTTCAACGGTGAGATGTTTGGCAGTTGGATGAGAAGTCGGCAGCGACAAGCGTACGCTATAAATCTAAGCAAGCGTTTTTACAGCTTGACATACTGAAATTCTTTTATCAATGTCACAAGAATGATTACACACAACAAAACAAGAACCGGGGGATCGACAATTTTACAAATTGTTAGCCCATGGCAATTTTAGGACGGGTCAAAGCAAGACATACTGTCCACCTGGATGTTACACCTGGTCGGGCTGGCAGAAAGAGAAATTAATTTAACAAAAAAAAAACATTGCGCAATACGACAGTAGACATCAAATGGCAGAATGGAGTGTAAAAAGGATTAAAAAAGGGGGAAAATTACCTGCAACACACATTCAGACCATATAAAAATAAAAGTTCAGTTATTTAAATTCCATAATTAAAATCTCCATACTCACTGATGTGTCATTAAAGGTTACGTAATTTACACGACGCATTGCAAATCGGCAAAAACTTTTTTTTAATATTTAAAAACAAACAAATTGATTAAAAGATGACCTGGTTTGTTTAAATAGAAAGTGGTAACATGTCACGACAAGACTAGTACGATATTGAGTGGGAAACTGAGCGCGAGCGGGCTATGGGCGGAGACCGAGTCGAAACAGCGCAGAAGGCAGAGTTGGCGAGACGATTCGCACCAGTGATTCATCGCTCGGAAACGGAACAGTCGGGAGAAAGAGGGAAAATTCGGCCCTCTTCAACCGCTGACAGTGATTTTTATGCTTTTTTCATCTTTTCCTATGATTTCGCCCCCAAAAACATGTTCATCGACTGTTGTCCGAGTGGCATTTTTTCATTTTAATCAAGGATGGGCTACGGAATAGTTCGTTCCTTTCATGATCTCGTTCGTTTCAAATTGATTCATGACTCATGTTCCTCCACTACATTGTTGTTTTTTTTTTCTTAAGACCTTGGATCATGGATATATTATGATCTTGTTACATGGGGTGATCTTCTTTCTAGCCTCAGTTTTTATTTCTCTATTACGGCTTGTTTATAAACATTTTGGAAAATAAAACTCTTTTCACGTTAAATCAACCCAGTCATGCATTTTTCCTAGTGGTTCCTAGTCCTTTTTCTAAAGCGGCCCATAAACGGTCAATATTATTGTACAATATAGATTGCACAATAATTTGACGGTTGCCCCTTAACGTTCAATAATATTGTACAAAATTTTGTTTGTGCAATGAACTTGAATAGTTTGAACGATATTGCAGTTTGTGCAATATTTTGTTACTACTTGTACTTCACAAACTGACTGATATTGCGCAATAATGCCAACAGACGGTGCAATGTTTTCCAGGTTGTACAATATATTTTCAACTTTTCGTCAATCATGCAATGTATTGCACAAACTTTCAATATCGTTTACACACGATCAATTAAATTACACAACCCAAAATATTGTGCAATAATATTGATCGTCTATGGGCCGCTTTACGGCTTGGATCATGGATACATTATTATCTTGTTACATGAGGTGATCTTCTTTCTAGCCTCAATTTTTATTTCTTTATTTAGGCTTGTTTATAAACATTTTGGAAAACAAACTTCTTTTCACGTTGTCAACCATCTTCTTTTGTTTAAGACATGGTTTCAAGGGTGTTGTCGTATGATCTTGTTACGTGGAGAGATCTTCTTGCTTGCCCCTATTCCTTATTTCTCTATTAAAAACGCTTGTTTATATAAATTTTGGAGAAAAAATCCTTTGCATATTATATCAACCCAATTGTTACTTTTTCCTGGTGGTTCCTAGTCCTTTTTCTTAAGACCTTGGATCACGGATATATTATGATCTTGTTACACGGGGTAGTCTTCTTTCTAACCTCAATTTTTATTTATACATTTTGGCTTGCTTATAAGCATTTGGGGGAGGGGATTCTTTTCATGTTAAGTTAAATCAATCCAATTTTGATCTCTTTTCTAGTGATTCCTTGCCTACCATTTTCTTTTGCTTGAAACTTTGGATGAAGGTTGTTACATTATGGTCTTGTTATTTTAGGCGAATTTACTTCTTGCTACTATTCCTGATTCCTCTATTGTGGCTTGTTTATGTAAATTTTAGAGAAAAAAACCATTCTTTGCACATTATATCAATCCAATTTTGATATTTTTCCGAGTGATTCCTTGTCTACCATCTTCTTTTTCATAAGTCATTGAATCAAGGTTGTTACATTGTGGTTTTGTTACTTGAGGTAAACTTATTTCTTTCCTCTAATTCTTTTTTCTATATTTTGGTTTGTTTATATACACCCTGGAGAAAAAAAAATTGCTTTGCACATTAAATCAATCCAATTCTGATGTAATCTTGTTTTGTTTGAGCTACTCCATTGAATCAAGGTAGTATGGTCTTTACCTACATAGGTATTGTGGAACCCCTATAACCATAACCATATTCAGGAAGTGCACTTATTCCTATAAGATTATGCACTTTTTTTCATGCCTCTTTGCACACCTCTTTTGGTGTGAGTATTGCCTTACCAATGTGGTTGTATCGTAACTGGGCTAATGTTTTATGTTCACAAAGGATATGTGCTTATCTCTGGTTTTCCTTGGCATAGTTGCCATGTTTCTGTCTCTGCTTTGCCCATCTTCTTTTGGTGGTAGTAAAAAGGCCAGTATTGAACCCTATAATTCTCCTCAAATCCTGCCTGCTGAGGGAGAGGAGTTCCTTTGCCTTCCTTTTTGAGAGATTTATGAATCTCTTAGCTTGCCTCATACCTGGTGCTTTTGTCCACTACTTGAGTTTTTCTTTCTCAAGCCATTTTTCCAGTTCCAACTTACAGTACACACTTCGGTGCACCTAGTGGTTCTGGTCTAATGGGTGAGAGTGCTGCCCCTTTTATTGGCTAGGTGGTCAGCCTGTTCATTCCTTTTGGCCATCATGTCCCAGAACCCAATTTAAAGTAAACTTGTCTTTTGCAGGACGAAAACGGGGTGTACTGCACAACAAGCGAGGAGACACTGAACCTAATGGCAAGGGCCCACTTCCCAAGTTCAGGCTCCTCCGACACCCAAACCATGAATAATACACCTATGCCGAATTGGAGGAAGGCATATGAAGTGATCTCTTGGGACGCATACAAATGGGCGGTATGGTCCTTCAAGAAGTTCAAGGCTGCAGGGATGGATGGAATATTTCCTGCCCTCTTACAACAGGATACACCTGGTTTATCCAGTGCTGTATGGGATCTCTTAAGGAGTAGTCTGGCGTTGGGGTACATACCAAAACGCTGGAAGGAAACAAGGGTAATTTTCTTACCCAAACCAGGTAAGGTCTCTTATCAATTACCTAAATCATACAGACCTATAAGTATATCTTCTATTTTCATTAAAATAATAGAGAAAATTTTAGATAAATATATTAGACATGACTGTGGTATCAATACCTTGATACATCCTAATCAGCATGCCTATTTACCAGGAAGATCAGTGGAAACTGCTCTGCATACACTTGTAGGAAGGATTGAAAAATCATTATACAATAATGAGTACACCTTAGGATGCTTCTTTGATATCCAAGGAGCGTTTGATAATGCAGATACCTCATGCATTATAGCAGCACTAAATAAATATAACATTCACCAACACCTCATAGGATGGGTGAAAACNAGGTATCCTAACGGGCCATTGCCCCTTGAGAAGACACCTCTTCATAATGGGTACTCTACCAGACCCCTTCTGCCGCTTCTGCGAAACAAAAGAAGAAACGGCCCGACACTACCTCGCAGAATGCGATAGGTATGCTAGGGAAAGATTTAATACTTTCGAAGGAGAGGACATAACCAAAACACTCCCCAGGATAAAATGGTCCACAATCCTGGGGTTTGTGAATAGGTCCAATAGGTTTATACAGGACTCGTGAGCCGACCAGGTCCCGGACCTTCTAGGGATGGGGTACGGGCCTACTCAGGCTTTTAACCCCTCGGGTCCTGGTCGCCCGCCCTGTGTAATATATATAAACTTGTCTTTTCCTAGAGCCATTATGCCATTCATGAATTCCCAGTCTAGTTTGGAGTTGAAAGCATACGCATTTAGTGCCTTTATAGCTGCCTGATTCTCTGAGAGTATTTAAATCTGTGCACCTTTTTCATATATTTTGCCAACTCCTGTGCTAAAGACCTACTCCTTGTTTCATATTTGATCCAACTGTGTAACATATTACGGTCCCTTCCTGAAATTTTGGGCTACCTTTCTTTTAAAGATCTCTGTTATTTGTGACAGTTGAAAGGGTCAAAATTGTTTTCCTCGCATTTTGTCAGTGACTGTTATAGCCATCTCATTTGTTTTAATTATCTCCAAAATTTTGTTATGGCTTTTATTTAAATCTGGCTTTATTTCTTTCACGCAGGTATCACAGGAGTCTGTTAGCACTCTCTATGAGGTCACTTGTTCCCTCATATCCAGGTGTGATCCTTGCTCACATTCCTGTTCTCTTTGGAACATCAATATTGTTTTCCATTATTTTGACTTATATTTTCAGATCGTGTTCATTGTTTATCAATTCTCAGCTATTATTATTTGTTATTTACCTACTGGGACTTATTTATATTGAAAACGCAAACTGATTTCTCATCCAATCAAAACAACAATTTTTTCTTTTGCTTATCTTCCAATAGCAAAGTTAGAATTTTCTGTGTCAACAGTTAAGAATCTGATACAATAGAACTATTCATAAAATATGATTCATGCAAAATAAACAATAATTTTATTTTCTAATGTAGTCAAAAGAAAAATTAAAGTTGTTTAAAAACAAATTTTAAGGATTTGTACATATCCTAGATAATTTGAAAAGTGGTTTGTCATATATGACTAGAAAAGAATAAATCTGGTCTATTATGAATGGAAACTTGTATACAATAATTAATTGCTTATACTTAAGCACCAAACATTTTTAAGAGCACTCATAATTGTTAAAGGGATATTTCTGCAAATATTTGCTTATTGTTTTGTATTGTTTTCTTTAAGTTAGTGTTAGAAAAGAAGGCTGTCCAAAAAGTTCATATTTAGATATTTTCAGCAGAAAAAAATGGATTGTTCCTTACAAAAAAAAAAAAAATACATATTTTCATTATCCCATGTCCACATGTGCAGCATAAAATTGATCAGTGATTAATAGAAACAAAACAGAATTTGAGATATTGTAGTGGTCTCCAAGTGAATTTGTAAGTGGATCATCTCCAGTCATCCTTGCTATCTCTATCTTTTATTGTTGGTTCATTTGTCCTTTTTGTAGGTTCTTAACTTACCTCAACAACAAAGTTAATATAATAATGTCATGTTGTAATTGTATTTAAAGTTTATATGTATGTTACTTCTGATTGTACATGTACATGTACAGAATTGGACTTCTTACTTATCCCAGCATGCCGTGAGTTTTGCATGCAGTTTTACCTAGACGTACTCACACTCTTACTCACTCTTAAATACATTCTTTCCTATTTAATTACCATTCACTCAATGGGTGGTGGAGTACTTGATATTCCTCCATCACCTTTTAATCTAAATCTAATTGAAGGTTTATGGGGTATACACATTCACACTAATAAATAAATTCAATCGCAATGAAAAAAAAAAAAATATCTAGTACTACAAACAATA